CACCCCTAAGGATGATCGCAGATGGTTCGAATTAAAACTTATTGATCTTGAGCCAATAATCCCGTTGCTATGATTTGTTCGGCTGTGATCGATGAATTGCATATCTGTTAAGTTAAGAAGTGCAGATCCAGGTACAGTCATACCACGATATGGAGAACATCTATTTAAATGAATAAAATTTTAAGTTGAAAATTATATATTATCAACAAAATCTAATATATGATATACAAACCTATCGCCCAATGTTGAACCACTCATGAATGAAGCGTCAAAAACCACATCAATATTGTTTCTCTCAATACCAACCACTGTACCTTTGGCTGCAATCGGAACATTTCCAGAATCCTGGACAAATACAACACGATCACCAAGGCTAAATTTTTGTCCTTGTAAACGTGTTGAAGAGTGTGCTGGTTTCAATAATACCTTAAATGACACCAAAACTTGGTTTGGATTAATTTTCATTTTTGTGAAGAAATAATATAAAAACAGACATTATAAATATTTATCCAACATACATCTCTTGGAACTTTTCGAACAACAAGTCTTTTGAAAAATTTTTTGTTAGTAAATTCAACTGCTGCTTGTTCTATTTTTGCTATTGCCTCCTAATAACAGTATATAATTTTGTAATTAAATAAATATAAATTCTAGTTTAATAAAATCATATTTGGCATTGAAATTATTTATACCTTGTCCAATTGTTCGGCATCTAATGACACTTTTTCAAAATCTCTCACTTCAACAGTTCTCAACCATTCTTTTATAGCATGAACTTTGGAAACAGCTTCTTCTTTAGGATAAAAATCTTCAGCAGAATAAATTTCTATATAATATTGAATTTAGAAGAAGCCAAATTTTCCGGGCTTATTAAAAAGTAATAAAGCATAACTACCATCTTTATGCTTCTCTTCAAGAGCTTGAATAAATTCTGGGAATTTTTCCTATAAAATTTAAATTCTTTTAATACAAACTAATATCAATACTTATAACAATCATCGTGTTACCTTATATTGTGCCAAAATCTGTATCGCCTTCTCACTATATTCCCACCCAGAATCTCGTGACTTTCTTGTATATCCCAATACTTTTTGTTTTTTTGCTTCAAATTTTAAATTAAGTCCAAGGTTGACCCGTTGATCAGTTGACTTACAAATAACATATAAGCTAGCAGTTAATTTGCTCAATGTTAGACCACTCATGCTTAACCTTTTTGCAACCTGAAAGGAAGGATAATATTTCACACGACTATCAAAATCATTCGCAATTTTTTTTCCGAAATCAGGCTCCATGCTACTATTATTTATATCAATAATCTTATAAAAATAATACGTTAATCAGGAAATGTCCATAATAGATTAACTTTAGTTCCAAAATTTACGCACCAATTTTACTGCCAAATTTCTTTTAGCATTTTTGACAACTAATCCTGGACAACCATAATATGGACTACCAAGAAAGAAAACTTGGGTATGTATCGGAAATTCCTCTGCTATTTGAGTCGCCGGTTTTTCTTCAAATCGGGGGTCTTCACATTCAACGCTGTTCACAGTTGTTTGGATTGCGTAATCCATTTCTTCATTAGCATTTGCATATTCCTTTACCAATGCACCATTGCTCAGCCTCCTTAAACCTTAATAACATCGCATACATAGACTATTAGCTTGAATAAATAACTATAATAAATTTAATGCATACACTAAACTATTATGGAATACGATACCTTTTAGCATTAAAACATGAGCTATGACCTCCACAGTTCCCGTGATAGTTCCATATCTCTTGCTGTAATTTTGTTCCAATTTATCAGCCTTCCGACGCCAATGTTCAAGTACATCCTGTCTATGGGGATTCTTAATGACTTGAGGATTCTTAATAGTTTGGGTATTTCTAACATCTTGTCTCTGAACATTCAAATTTGCCAATTCATATCTGAAAAGTTCATCGGAAATAGCCTGCACGAAAGCTTCTTGGAGAAAAGGCCAACCTAAAAAAACGTGATTCATGAGGCTCAAGTATATACTTAAAGTGCAGTAATGACGAAACTATTAGCAAAAGTCATTCATACCAACAAATATCCTTTTTCCAACTGTTTTCTTTGCAATATCTTCTAGTTTCATGTTGGCAAACTCATTCACAAGGGTAATAACCAGGTGCTGAGGTCTAGCGAAGTGATTGATAAGGAAAGTAGAGGTGGTTCAGAGGAAGGAGCTTT